TTAATTTCTAACGAAAAAAAAGAATAATTGATTGTTTATAGTTATTCGTATTTCTTGTTCGATTAATGTGACGGTGACGGTATTCGTAAGGATAAAAACTTTTCCATCATTTTTTCGTTTTCTGTAACAACGAATCTTTAATTGGGTATTTGGTATTGGGTTACGCTTTGTACCATGCTCGGACCTGACTGGATATGTCCAGTATATTATTTCGAAAAAAGATGTATATATACCCGTAAAAATGATTATCATCCTAGTTTCGCGTGTTCATCAAGACTATGACGTATCATACACGAAGACATTGACACATAAACTTGTCTTACCAAAAAGATTGTAATTATGTATCGTTCACCTAAAAATGAAGAATCTCTTATATGTAAGAATCTTTTATATGTAAGTGTAGGTATAGGATATATATATATATATATATATATATATATATATATGTATATACATATATAAGTTAAATAATTTAAATAATTCCAAAAACCATAAATTCCGATCGCACTTATTCGATAATTGTATATTTTTGCATAAGAAGCTGTAGATGCATGCTTTGTACGGCCGCAGGTATGCTTGTACATACACATATGTAGGTAACTTGGATCTGGCTGTAAATATGCATGGACTTTGGACAAATTCTGACCGCTTACTGACTATTTCTATGACAATAGACTTTACTTATTGCAGGAATGAACGTGACGTCCACGTTCCCCGGCCCCTTAGCCACAGACACGTTCAATCGGAAATTGATTGACGATAGCAAAAGATCGAATAACGAGTCGGAAATGGTCAGGCCCAGCCAGGAACCGGAACATGGCACTTCCTCCTTGCGGGAAGATTCAAAAAACACTAATACTTACTCTTCCCCTGCCACTACTCATGGACTCTTTCATTATCCTATGGATCCTGGACATCCTACCGTACCATACAATGGACCTTATAGTCCTGACTATAATCCTACTCATCCTATCATCGACGATGTCTTTCATTTGTCCTCTCAAACCGAAAAATTATTGCTCAAAGATAAATCGAAATCTAAGTTGGATTCTAAAAAGCCCATCGAACCAGTGAAAACACATTTTCCTGGACCTTTGAATCCCGATAAATTTCCCGATAAAATTATGTCCGTTCCGAATCAACCGAGCATGGATAATCAATATATACATAGTACGATTAAACCAAGTAAATTACCATTTTTACAGAAAGGCAGTCACAACGTTGACCAACCTCAATTTATACCGTTAAATCCTCATCAGGAATCCGACGATTCCAGTTTCTCATTTGTACCGAATAACGGAGAGAATATACCTCCTGGTAGTTTTAATTCGCATTTTGATGACAGTGCGGCAGGACCACCTTACCGTGATTCGATACCAACAAAATCAGATCCGATCGATCCAAACGTGATAGTCCAAATGAATTCAAAAAAGAAAACTCAAATTGATGATACTTTCTCCGATTTAGACAAGATCAAAACAACGGCACCTACTTTACCGGGTAAACCAAAACAAGGTCAACGTAATCCCGAACAAGAGATCGCACCCGACGAACTTTATCATCTTATAAACATTCAACATCCTGGCTTAATTCAACTTGATCATGGTCCGCCTCAGGGACATTCCGGTATTTACAATCTTCATCAACAAATCGCAACACAAAAGCGACCATCCACTAATCAAATACAAACAAGTTATTTTGGAACCCCACCACCTGTAGCAAAAAAAACTGGCAAGCCACACATTTTTACGCAAAAAAGTGAAAATGGACAGACCACTTATCATATACACACTCCAGATATTCCTAATACTCCTCAACAAATAGAAGAATTGTTGGCTCATATTAGTCAACACGATCCTAATCTAGGACCTTTCCAACATTATCCTGGACAACCAGCAATACCTCATAACATACCAACCGGTCCGCAACCTTCTCTACCGCTTCATATTGATGCTCATATACCACATTCAGGACTCACGCACTTGAATCATCCGTTCGCAGCACAAACGCCAAACCAGTCAGGTTCGTCCCTGATAAAAAAAACGAAGAAAAAAGAAAAAAAATAAATAAAATTCATTTATTTCGTATGACAATAGGTTTTCATACCTACCTATATCTTGATTTCTAAAATCGATCATTTTAGGAAACATCCATGTTCTATAATGAAGAATAGGTCTTATCAATTATTCGAAACTTACATACGTTAACGATCTTAAAAAAATTGAACATTTTTATAATTTCTATTACAGGATTAGATCACAATGTGCCACCAGGTTTTCCATTAACAGGAGGTATTCCTAATTTTCCTGTATCATCTTCATCTGATGAGGTCACTGTACAAGTTCTGGAAGCTCTCGATGAGAGTACAGTACGATTAGTATTTACGGTACCAACGATTTTAGTTGGTCTTCATGGAAGAGTTGAATTAAGATATACGAGTGACTCTAAGTAAATTATCAATTAGTTTTCACTATATTCATGAATTATTCTATAATAATAATATTGATATAAATTTTTAGAAATTTTAATCCTACTACTTGGAAATCCAAAGTATTTGCACCTCCTGGTGATTTAATAGCAACTCCTCAATTGGAATTCGAATTAGATGATTTAAAACCATCGACAGAATACAAAGTGAAAATAACGGTGAAGCTAAAAGATTTAACGAACAGTCCTACGAGTAAAATATACTCTATACGTACTTTGGAAAAGCAAGCTGAGATTACAACATTACCACCACAAATACCAATCGATGCGGAATTACAAATAATGGAAACAAATTCGAGTTGGATAAATATTATGTGGAAGAAATTTACCGATTACGAGTTACAGTTCATCGATGGTGTTCAATTACGATACAAGGAACACGATGGGAAAGTATATGCAGCAACGCCATTGATTCATAGAGCTGTCACGAATTATGTTATAGAAAATCTTAAACCGATGACAACGTACGAAATTGGAATTTATTTTATACCATTTCCTGGACAAGCTACTGAACTTGTAGCAGAAAAAACGGTAATATACAATGTATATTACATATTTTATATAAAAATTATTAAAATGTTTATTATTAATTTTTTAATAGAAAAATTCAAGTATATACATATACAACTTTTTTTAGATTCATGTAACTACATCCTCCGAGCCAGATCCTTATTCATTTGACGTAAAAGTTGAAATAAAAACTATCAAGTCGACCGATGTTGAAATATCTTGGAGTGGAGTTCCTTATCCTGAAGATAAATATGTCAATATTTATCGAGCAATTTATCAAAGTGACAGTGGTAAAGAAGATACAAGTACATTTAAAATTGCTAAAAGAGATTCTCCAGCTAAGACTATTATCAGTGATCTTAAACCAGGGACAAGGTATCGTTTGTGGATCGAAGTTTATTTAACGAATGGAAGAATTAAAAAAAGTAATGTGCAAGATTTTGTTACTAAACCTGGTATTTTGATACCAACGAATGTGCCTCGACAAGGTATTCACTAATCTTTTATAATTTAATTTGAATATGCAAATATGTATTTGTAAATAATTTATATAAAATAATTTATATAAAAAATTCAATCTTTGTTTATAGCGGATAAATTGGCTTCGATACCGTTACACGAAGGAGATTATTATGGTCCTTTAGTAATAGTAGCCATAGTGGCATCACTCGCAATATTATCTACATTGATTCTTTTAATGATGTTGATGAAAAGACGAACGAGCAGTAAGGCGGATATATCACCACGCAAAACTACATCGGCATATGATAATCCTTCCTACAAGGTAGAATTACAACAAGAAACTATGGGTAATTTATTGTTATTGCATTTATTTAATTTTATATACGTGAAAAAGAAATTAAGCGTGAAGGAAGAATGTATTTGAAAGATTAATTAGAATATACGAATAGAAAAAATACATATTAGTTAATAGTAAAAAATTAGAGTAAATAACTATAAATGCTCGTTTATGATATAAATATTCAGCTTTGTTAATTTCTTTTTAGACTTATGAAGATGTTACGACCATCACTAACGGAAAAAACAAAAATATGGAACACGAACTGGCTACAATTAATAGCAATGTTAAGGGAACTGCCTGATATTCTGTAATTTATTAGATTATATTTATTTATACAATTTTGTTAATATACTTATCAATTTGTAAAATCCGTCCATATAAAATGATCGTATATATATCATACGCAAGATATGCGTTTATTCAAGAACGTGTGGGACTGTTCATTATCGTTAGTATATACAAATATATTTTAAAAATTTACTTCACATATTTTCATTCCAATCTTATATAAAAATAATGAAATTTCTTCATTTATTAAATATAGAATTTAATATGTGTCATGTATTAAATCTTGTACATAGAGCAAGTGATAATGTAACTTTTAAGATATTCCATGAAGATATTATAACACAAAGATTTTTACAAGCATTTTTACTTCTACTCAGCTTTAGGATATTAAATTAATAAATAAACTTCAAATATAATTGTAAGAAACTGTGAATAAGCTATGCTCTAAATTAAATGCTTAAAAGTGTTTTAAAATATTTACTTATAAATGTTATTAATAAATATAATATATGTATTTTATTTAATGTTAAAATTTAAGTCTATAATCATGCTGAGTTTCTTTAACTCGGGACTATTTTGTACAGTCTGCATTTACATTGTCAGAAATCTTGAAAATAAACTTATTCATTATAACTTGCATTACTATAATCTTTAGATAGAATAGTATTTTTTTTTAAATACCACCTTTTATTTGTGTTGTAGGTAGTCACTTTATTAAATTATAAAAGGTTTTGGAAGCAAATAACATTATTTAAACAATTAAAATAAGATCTATAAGATGCTGTTTTATTATATATTTATATATGTCATGAAAAGAAAAAAATTTTAAACTATAAAGTTATATCACATTATATGTTATCTTGATATTTATATATTCCACATTATTAAACATAAATTTATCATATAATAAGATTTACAAATATTTGTTTAAAATAGGTTCCATTTCTATTGGTTCATTATTAGGAGCAAATCTGGCTACAACATTGCCTTTTTTATCAACGATAAACTTAGTAAAATTCCATTTAATGGTTCCCCCTTTATCTCCACCCAACTCAGTCAGCCATTTCCACAGAGGATGAGCATTATTTCCATTGACATCTACTTTTTCAAACATATCAAAAGTAACATTATATTTTTTAACGAAGTTAAGAATTTCTTGAGAAGTTCCTGGTTCTTGGCCACCAAATTGATTAGATGGAAACGCAAGAATTCTCAATCCTTCAGACTTATACTTCTCATATAATTGCACAAGTTGTTTATAGTTGGTATCTGTTAATCCACAGTTGCTAGCAACGTTAACAATTATTAATACATAACCACGATATTTATTCAAGTCTACATCATTTCCATGGATATCAAGCGCATGAAAATCATAAATAGAAGTTGCAGATTTCAAAGATTGTTGCTCATCATTTTTTGATGTACATAGCTCTTTATTGTTGTCATCACAATTCTCAGACAATACTCCTGTTAAAAAGCAGATGAGAAGCAACAGTATCTGGATACCTAATAAAGACGAATAAAGAAAATCCTTAACAAAGAATAAAAACGTAAAAAATTACAACTAAATTTTTTATGATTACAAAAAAAACACTCTAATGACAGTTTGTCATCTTATTTCAATCCACAAATAAATATTCTATATAGTTTCATACATTTTAATAGTTATCGTATATTGGCTGAGTATTATTAATTAAAAAAAAACGAATTTCATTTACATATATAAAATTTAAATACTTGTTCTTAACAAAAGAGAATTACTCACGCAACATTTCCAGCAGAGTGTGGAACAATTTAAACGCAACGATCAATATATCTATAACAATTGAAATAATTACGTCTTATTACTTCTATTTATTGTTAATATTAAAAGTTAATTAGATGTAAACAATAAATGACAATACCTTCGATGTATTCGCCAATATACTTCAGATTAATTGTGACAAAAGAACACAGCTCTTACCGGTTTCTTTGTTACTGGAATTTTTTTTTAAATGACGGACAAGGAAATACCAATTTCTTTTCTCTACTTTGGTCGCTCTTCACTTAACCACCAATCAGAATTCCTACACGTACCTTCGATAAAGAAAACAAAACACTATCTTAAAATGCACATAACCTTATAAGATAAATTATAATTTTGTCAAATTTATACGATAAAAATTCGATTAAAAAAAAATATTAACATATGCGTGTATTTAAATGCAAACTAACTTAATAAATATTATCTTTAAATAACTCTTATCTTGAGTTTCTAAACCGTTCGTGTCTTTAACGTACAATAGCATTGTGTATTGTGTATACTGGTCCATATTCAAGGAAATATTATTTATACTTAAAATCACGTTCTTCAAACTTATATACACATACTTTTTTTATAATAATTATATAAAAAATTCTAAAAACATTAAGACACACGTTTAAGATGTTCTATTATTCGTATTGACTGAATACGTTAAATTTTTCAATATAACCTAAAAAAATATAAACATTAATGAAACGAAATCTTACTATTCTTTTTTATTCATGTGGTTATTATAGAAATATTTTAATTAATTTAATGCACATTACTATTTATTGAATGAACTTGAATAAAGTCAATTGAATAAAGTCAATTTGTTCAAACCAAAGTTTAAAACACACATACAAATATGGTAAGTATAAATTATGTATATATCCTTATATGTTAAAAACAAAGTAATTTCTTTGTATAATTTAAATAAAACTGATTTATATTTTTTTCAGGCACGTAATGCTGAAAAGGCTATGTTAGTAAATAAAGTTTTCTTATATTCTTCCTTTTAATTTCTTCTTTTTAATTTTTTTTGTAGCTTTTTTCCATAGGAAGTAATTCGTTGAAATATTTTAATAGGACCACCCTTGCGAGGTGGAGGGCAGCTCAAAGCAATGAAGGAGCCAGAAAAGAACAAGAGAGAAGACCTTATTTAGCCTCCGAGTGTCGAGATTTGAGGAAAGCCGAGAAGTGGAGAATGCAAATTATTAGAGAGATCGCTAAGAAGGTTGCTCAGATACAAAATGCTGGTTTAGGGGAATTTCGAATTCGTGATTTAAACGACGAGATTAATAAATTACTCAGAGAAAAGAGGCATTGGGAAGCACAAATAAAAGAACTCGGTGGACCAGATTATTCTCGTGTAGGACCACGGATGCTAGATCATGAAGGACGAGAGGTGAATAGATATTTTATCATCATTCGAGATACATTTACTAAAATTATTTATATTTTGTGTGAAATTGTTAGGTACCTGGAAATCGGGGTTATAAATATTTTGGAGCTGCAAAAGAATTACCAGGAGTAAGAGAACTCTTTGAACAAGAGCCTCCACCACCCCCTCGAAAAACACGTGCAGAATTAATGAAAGATATAGATGCCGATTATTATGGATATAGAGACGACGACGATGGAATTTTGTTACCGTTAGAGCAAAAAGCGGAACATGAAGCAAGAGAGAAAACTATAAAAGAATGGCTACAGCAGAAGAATAAAGAGTCAGATTCGGAAGAAGAAATAGAAACGACTTCACAAAAACGTATACCATCGCAGCAAGATATACAAGAAGCATTACTTGCAAGAAAAAAGAGAGAACTATTGGAGAAATATGTTCTCTGACTGACACTTTATTTTTTATGCTCTTAATAATAACTATTCATAAATTTATTTAATTGTATCAGAGTACATTTTTATAAAACGCGATAAATATAGTTATTTATTTGTAAGTATGTAATAACATTGATCAAGGTAATTATTTTGTGCAGTAGACGTTTAAACTTTAATCGTTACTTATCGAGAAAAGGGTGCTGTAGATAAAATATAAATAAAAATCCGATGAGATAGTCTGTTTATAACGTTCGCGATCTTCACTTATAACAGTTTTTGAAAGAAATCGCGAATAAGATGATACAGTAATACGCACCATCTTGATCTCATACTAGCATTAAAAATTTTTTTTTAATTTGGCATATCTCCCTGTAACAAACGATTTTTAAAATTATTTCGTTTGTTATCTCGTGACTTTTCTTATAGCGTTCACTGGGCGTAGAAATCCGAGTACAACGAATTCTTTGAATTCTTTAGAGTAACTTGACGAAGTGATATATAAGGCAATGTAATTACGAAATAGTGCTCCTGCAATGAGAAATTCATAAGATATCTTGACGACTTATTACGATTACTTCATTTCGAGTTGAATTACACACAAATAAAGAATTTGTTTTCGAGAGAGAAAATTCTGAAGAATGTATCATTGTCTGCATATGTGTAAGCACAACTTAAAAACTTCCATTCAATATCGTGTCATTTATAAACAGACTGTAACATAGTAAGTTATGTACAATCATGTTGCTGTTAGGACTCAGAAGTCAATGGCACTAAAAGTACTAAAGTATATCATATTATCCTTCGATTTTTCTAAAGTAGACGCGTTTTTCTCGATCCAATTATAAAAATCTTCTAATTTATTTTTGCAATTTCTTCTTTGATAGCTGAATTAGAGAGCCACTATTATCGATTTTTAAGTATACTAGAACCAGAAGTGCTAAAGAAAATCGAAGCTGTAATATAGCGTGTATTTATATTTATCCAACGAGTCAACTTCTGAGCCCTTGTATAATCGCTTCGTGCCTAATACGTAAACGACAAAACAGTTCGAGCATGGATTAGTTTTTTCTTTTATAGCTAAAAGACTATAACACTTGTAAGGCTTGAAAAATCAAGCTCTAAATGATTCGTAGCTTATCCGTTGATCAGTCTCTCGCCCATTTTTTTTTTCGCCATCCAATTCCGTCTATTATTAAACGCGTAGATAGTAATGTAACTAGATCTATTCGTACTTATGAATTACAATCGCATAAATTTCTATGTCAATAATAAGATCGATAATCTACGATCATCATCACATCTGCATCAACGGGGTGCGTTTTGCGATTTATTGTGCGTCATTGAATTGTAAACGTGTCCTCATCGTATCTTTCTCATTCAGCATCGCACAACGTCAATCCATTCTCGAACCATCACAAGACACCAAAATTCGTCGTACTAATTTGTATGAAGGAGTCACTGCATACTAGAATATATATTGAAAAAGTACCGCGGAGCAAAGATAAAACTCGGCACACTTGTTAGCTCGAATCATTTTCGATTCGTTTTCCTTTTCTCTCTCCCTCTCTCTCTCTCTCTCTCTCTCTCTCTCTCTCTCTTTCTCTCTCTCTCTCACTCTCTCTTTCTCTCTTTTTTCTCTCTCTCTCTCTTTCTCTCTCTCTCACTTTTTGCACTCTCATTGCACAAAGAAGCATACATACACACATACACGCACTTACAGGCATACACACGCGCGTTCATTCTCTCCTTTCCTTACGCGTTTCCCCTACTTATCAGGTGTCACAGGTGGGACCACGACTTTTCCTAAAAAGGGTGAAAGGCACAAAGTAAAAGATAAACGATCAAGGTTTTGGCTCAGGCACATATGTCCGAATCGGAGAGTTCTCGTGCCACAAACTTGTGACCTCGACGAAGTCGATGGTGCCACCGTGATGGATGAAATATATCGAAAACACTCTCGACTCCCTCCGCCGTATCAAAAAGGGAAATGTATATGTGTATGTACTTGGTACATCGAGTATAGAGTTTACAACTCAGAGTTTTTTTAGCGCTTATTATTACGATAGCAAGCAGCTCTGATCGTAACGCAGTATCGACTATCGACAGATGAAACGCTTATTGATTCGCGCGTGTATGTATGTTTTTTTCTTCGTTTTCATTTTCCAGTCGGGCAGTGCACGTTGGACTCGTTTCGTCCGACGATGCTGCTTGAAAAAAATGCCTAAAGTCGAGAAAAATCTTTGTATCATTCGTCGTGCGAATCCTCTTTTTGCTTCAAGGACGTAAAAGCGAGTGCCAGCGTTGAACTTGGGTGGGCTGTCGGGCTACACGCATGTCATTCCAATGTTGTAATTCCTCCGAGCCAGAACTGTTCAAACCTAGACAGAGCCAACCGATCATCTCTCTTCCTTTCTTGCCCATACCACCTCTTCGCCGATTATAAACCGAAACGAAAAGTGTCACATCACCTAATTGGAAAAGAGCGACCTGTGAACAGAAATAAAATAAAATTTATTCATTTTGAATATCGTTTAAGATATTCAAGTAATATATTTTTTCTACCTGGAAAACAAAGGTCTCTTTATAAAGTGGATTCGGTTGAGCCCTTTTCAAGCCCGTCTTTGATCGACTCATCTCATGGCCGTTGCTGTCGACGAGAGCCAATTTCACATAAGTATCTGGTGGTTTAGTATCATTACCACCGCCACCACGGAAATGAGAACCCTTGATAATTTCGACCGATAAACGTCCGGTCGTACCGTTATAGGATAGCCCTATTAATATTTCTGCAACGCTTCCACCTTTCATGCTACTACCATATGGCGGTATAGTAGGTGATGCGTATGATTGAACGGATTGTTGTGAACCTGTAGAATCGCTACGCGTCAAACTGCTGCTTGTACCCCAATCCTGAACCTGTAACGAGTTTTTATTTCAATGAGAATCCATTCATATTTTTTAGGATATTTTAATAGGACAATCATTTAATTTACCGAAGATGGCGGTGGTTGCAAAGTCAACCAAAGAGTGGTTTCGAGTTGTAGATTGATTTGATCGAAGGAGACTCTGGCCTCTCCGAGTAATCTTTCTCTACGCATTCTTCCACCCCATAAATAGACTCTTAGTCGTACTCCCATAGCGTTCACATCTTCCGGATTAACACGAGGAAGAAGGAAGCTTTCCATATATTGAGGCGAGTTACCCTGTCGAACGCGAGTCTTACGTCTTTGCTTCTTAGATGGTAACAATACTAAACGCACTTGACTGCCACCGATTCCGGCTGGATAGTTTCGTCCTTGCAAAACTTGTACCTGCCACAGTAAATAATATCGTAACATATACATGTAACATATTTACGATAGAGAACTATCAAAAGATATAAAAGAAAAGAAAAAAAAAAAAATAACTAACCGTCATCTCACGCATTGGTGCATCATAAAGAAAAGCGACTTCCAAGCTACCAATTTCCTCCGGCACGGCTCCCATCCTTGTGATAACGTCATTCGTCGTTGGTGCATTTCGTTCGATCTCTGCCTCCTGTTCTCTACTATCGAGTATGATACTGGAGGCACCGACCTCCACTACGCACTAAATTTCAAAAGAATTTCAAATTTCAAAAAGTATACAAGAGAAGGTAAATGTCCGAGATTAGATATGCATAGTATACGTAGATTACCTGTTGCTGCTGAGCTGTCGGCGTATGTTCCTCAGTACAACTACTTGAAGTAGTTCCGGCGTCTGAAATCCATTAAGTAGAACGTACTTCGTTATATAAGATACTTTTTATTTACGTTTACTTTAAAGTAGAAAGGTTAGAAGTTATGAAGTACCGACCAACGATCGCTGGCCCATCCTCAGCTTGTATGGTCAACGTATCTGGTGGTGGGTGAGGATGCGAATTTAATCTTCGAAGAGCGTCTTCTTCCGAATCAGAGCTCGTTTCTGGATCCGAATAGGAAAATGCCTTCCCTAGAATACGATAACGTATCATCAACGATAGTTATTTTGATCGATGATATACATGTAAAAGGTACAAAGGATGAAAAGAAAAGAATTTACAAATGTACGTAGGCGCAAATGCTTTATTTTATTACCTATATTCTTCGATATTTGAGATGCAGAGTTATTGCTGGACTCACAAAGCGGAACGCAAACTCCGCCGAAGAGAGCAGCCGAGGTGGGCGGTGTGAAGCACCACTTACGAGAGAGGTAGAGGAAGATGGCCAGTAATAGGACGATAAAGCCAGCAACGGCACCCAGAAATGCAGTCGCTTCCACAGGTACTAAAACAAACCCGATATAGAGAATCTTCGAATCGATTTTATTAACTTTAACTATTATCGCGCGAAATATTATCGATTTTTCGATTTATACAGATTTCTCAACATTGGCATGTATGAACTTTCGAACGACGATCTCGTGACAAGCGAACCGTTCTTGATAACATTATTCGCGTTATTGGTTACACAGCGTTACTACGTTAGCACGCTTATTATTTAATCCAAAGAAACTTTACTGATCTTTAACACACAGAGAAACATAAGGAAGAGTCTAATATATACCACGTACTATGTAAAATATTAAATATGTGATACGTATAAGAAAATGATATAATTAGTAATGTCTTCTTAAGGATTTTCAACTGGAAAAGATTAAAGAGAGAAAAAATTGTTTTTTTTTTTATTTTTCTTTTATCAATAATGATTATTTATAGTTTCGAGCTGAGAACTCTCGGCCATCCATAAACGAATTTTATAATCAACTACTGGTTGCGCATAGTATTGTCGATATCGAACGTTTCAAACGATAGCAACGCATTACACTTTAATGACCCGGAATAATTAATCGTCGCCCCAGATATCGTAGAAACTATCGTGCTACACGCAATATTCTACGCACGCACGGTCTTGCGATGTTACATATTTCTTTTCTGTTCCGGAAAAGGATAAAAATGAAAAGCTAATTCTCTCGCGAGTCTCCCTAGTAAGCGCATAAGACGATTTTTCGAAGAGACGTGCTCTCATCCGCGTTATTCGCTCGATGGGTTCGTCGATAACGCGACGAAAGGAATCGCGACTTTGTGGTGTCACAAAGGAGAAAGAGGCGAGAAAGGGAGAAGGGAAATTGAAAGAGAGAGATAGAGAGAGAGAGAGAGAGAAAGAGAGAGAAAAGGGGAGAATGAAAAAAATAATGGCTTTGCGCAATGCGGAAGATGGAAAGAAGTACACGCGTATGTTTTTAAGAATGTTTGTAAAAGTTGATCATGAGAATGAAAAAAAGTATTGATGACCGTCGGAAGAATTGGTAGTATCGTCGAAAAAGTGTGAATGGTGCACGTGACGAGAGCTCCTCGTTGTCCGAGGACGAAGAGAACGAAGGTGAAGGAGTGTTGAGACGGAAGGGAGGGAGGAGCGTATCAAGAGGGTGAGATGGACGGTGAGATGGTGGGTAGGTGAGAGGTGGGAAGGGAGTTTATCGCGCGGCAATGCGGTCGACCGTTCAGTAAGAGAAGCTCGGAAATTTCAAAGAACCGATTACCGTGTTTGAGAATTCCTTGGCGAGCTATAGGGTTACGTGGCTATACCTATCTACGTGCTTGTAATATTTGTGTTAGGGGCAAATGCGGATCACGAATCAACGACGACTCTCGTGGGTCTCGACTCGGTATTCAGTTCAATTTGTGGCACGCTCGAGTGGACTTACCCGCTAAGAAATGGTCTGATCCAGCCAGAATCATGCTCGTCCGTGGTGACACATTTAAAAAAAAGTAGCTCGAGCCACCTTACGTGTGTCTCTCAATTGGGCACGATAAGTAAGTCGGCCAGGATGAGGGACGCATCGTACGATATAATTTCTCTTTCCTTTCACTGTGTCTATTATTTTGTTCGCGTTAGGACGGAAAAACACGGGCGGCGACGCTTCGCGTTAGCCTTCCGACGGCTTTCACAGGAAAAAAAACGTGGACGCTTCCTCGAGGAGCGTCGTGGTACGTGGGCGAGGGTGTACACAACGGCACTCTGTTGCTCCGCTCTCTGATAGACTTGCGCCCGCAGCACCCTAAGCGCGACACTGCCGCGCATGCGGGTGCGCCCCTCGCAATTACCGCTCCTAACCATTCGGCTTTCGACGATCAACCGACTGGTCGACCGCCTGACCGACCAATCGACCGACCGACCGATCACTCCTCTCTATCTTATTTTCTTCTTTCTCCTTTATTCATTTTTACCTCTTTACCTATATTTCCCTCGTTTTCTCTATTTTTTCTTTATTTCTAATTATATCCTTTTTGATACGCTACAATTTACCTACTTTTTATTGGGATCATTCTCGAATTAACAAACGAGTGTTCTAAATCAAGGAATATTTCACAATGAAAAAACAATATTGAGTGCTTCTCTTTTCGATAAAGTTTTACTTTTTTTAATATCCATAGGCCAATTCGAAAACGACTATCTATCCAAAGACAAATTTTATGTAAATCTATCGGCAAAAAGTGAACATAATTCTTTCTTCATATTCGAAATCCCTTTCTAAAGGAAAAAATTAAGATATGATTTAATGGTATTAATTAGAACAGAAAGTAAATTTTTTATACTAATAAATTATACATTTTTTAATTAATATACTCTTATACTGCATAGCTTTCACTGGAAATATTTACCGAAATATAATATGCGCATTTTAAAGTTCCTTTTTTTATACACTTGTGTAAGATGTGTAGCCTATCCACCAGGGAAACACTTCTAAAATTATTTTTCATATTTTATCGCTAGATGGTGCTTGAAAATCTCGAAAGAATCGATCGAGGACATCGAGATTCAAGTCAAGATCGTAATTATGATGATCTAGAAATACAGTATTAAAATATAAATCTTCGATTTATAAATAAAATTTTTAATTGAGACAATGAAATTAAATAAATGTAATATTATTGTTTAAAACAATATTGGCGCTATTTCATTAATCGATTTTTATAAAATAATAACATTTCTATTTTTGAAAATGCAAAACATTTTTTGTTTTTTAATAAAAAAAATTGAATATTTAATAATTTTTATTTTCACGGTAAAACTATTTCGATAGATATAGAATAAAAAAGAGAAATGGAGAAAACAATATAAAAACTTGGATTTGTCTTATTTAATTTGCAATAATATCGTATATACATATCATTCGTTAACTGTACTTTAAATCTTATAATTTTAAACAATTGTTGTTATTCATATGAATCGAATTTTATTTAGAGAATAAGTATTCTTTTGACATCGTTTTTCTTCTTTTTTTTTTTTTTTGTTAATTAATTCGTAATAAGAAAATATAAATTATTGAGAAAAATTCAATTACGTTTAGAGCGCCCGTCGATCATATCGGAATCTTTCCAATATGTCTCTTGAATATGAGACAACATCGTAAAGTTACAGATACATTAAGGTTAAAATATGATTTTGATACAGACTTTTGTATGTACTCCTAATAAATAAAATATTTTATTATGAACGGATTAATCGCATTTAAAATCTCACTATAAAAGGTAAGTTTCGATTATTACGTGTTACAAATAGTTAATTATAACCAAAAAATAAAATTTCGTAATCAATAGAATACTAAAGAAAACATGTTGATTATACGATGTATTGATTATGATATAATGTTTTTCTTATTGAATTGAAAAAATAGGTACAGATAATTATGAGTTTCATCACGTTATTACAATTGAGACAAACCAGAATATTAACTAAATGTCTCTTAGAACAATATTTGAAAAGATACTTAAGGTGTCAAACAAAGTTTTATTGTATTAAACATACTAATCATAAAAATGCTTTTAATTCAAAAGATCGTATTGTAAAACGAAAAGCATTAAAGGCACGTATATTGGAAGATTTTAAAGAAACAAGAAAAAAAGTAGAAGGAATAATCGAAAGAGAAAATATATGGACTGTTCCCAACCTTCTTTGTGTGGGTCGTATGATCACATCGCCTTATTTAAGTTACTTAATACTATCACAAGATTATCAGGTAAGTTTGTTTCCTAAAAAAAAAAGAAAAAAAAGAAAAAAAGTGATTTATTAAAGGATCATTATTTGATAAATAAAATGTGTCATCTTCTAAAAATTATAGGTAGCACTATGGCTATTAGCATTCGCAGGAGTTAGCGATTTAGCTGATGGATGGATTGCAAGAACATGGTCGTCACAAGCTTCTAAACTTGGCAGTTTTTTAGATCCTGTTGCCGATAAATTACTTGTAGGGACACTCTTTCTTTCTTTGGCATGGGTAGGATTAATACCGGTACCTCTTACATGTCTTGTTGTAGCAAGAGATATTGCTCTAGTTGGTGCGGCATCTTATATCAGATATCGATCATTACCTGCACCCGTATGTAATCGAAGTTTTTTTTTTTCCTAAAACTGAAGTTGCTCTTTGATATAAATACATTTCTTCAATAATAATTTTCTTATTTTCTAGAAAACATTGGCAAGATATTTTGATCCTACACATGCGACAGTACAATTAGCACCTACTATCGCGAGTAAATTGAATACAGCAGTTCAATTGTCTTTTGCTGCTGGAACTGTAGCAGCTCCTGTTTTTCATTTTGTGAACCATCCTATTCTCCAATGTTTGTGCTATATAACTGCAATATCAACACTTGCAGGGGGTATTAGTTATTTGACATCTAGGAATACGTATAAATTTCTTAGAAAGAAAAAAATTTCAACACGGTCATAATTTATTTTTTCATTATCATTACTTAATAGCAGATGAGTAATGTACAGTTATCGAATCTTATGTACAAATTTATTATTGCAATTTTTTACATATACTATTTTGCATATCGATATTCAAATACTATAATATTTACAGAGAAACATATTAGTTAATAAACTTGTATATGTATATCTACACTAATTAATCTATGTAAATTGATTAATTTAACCTTATTAAAACAAAATACCATCTACGTTATACATTTCGTAAGCAAACTCTTCCCATTCAAAAGGATCATTTACTACGCCAATATAATCTATCTCCAGCTTAAAAGGACCAGGAATTTTATCAGAAGCTATAACACCAAAACTTGATATATTATCTAAAGCTATAGGTTCTTGATCGTCTTGTATTCTTCCATGACTAGACAAAAAGAATTTTGAAAATGGTATTTTCACATATTGCCAATATGGACCACCTCTTGTATAAATTACATAATTATACAAATCATTCCAATGTATATCATATAATCCTTTCGTTCCAATATTAATCATATAAGTTCTACCATCCCCTCTTACACGCATAACAAGATGATTGTATAACTGCCAATCTAAACGTGTTTCTCGTTTAAAACTTTTCCTGAATTTTGCTGTTTTAAGAGCACAGTAACCTGCATAGGTTATTTTACCATCTTTTGGAATTCTATAATCTAAATTACCGGAAAAGACAGCTTTGCCTTCTGGACTTAATTCTAGTCTACAAAAATGAAAAAACTTTTAATATAAAACTTTTTCAAAGTTCTATATCAAGCTAAATAGAATTAGCAAACAAAATATATACTCACTTGCAAGTTGAATAACCTTCGTTATAATCACTATCGCATACAATCAACCATGGATCCAAAGATTTTTGATTGCCATTAAAATCCCAAACAATGTCTACTTCATCTGATGGATGAAAGAGATTGTCTTTCCTTTTTTCTTTTATTTCTTTCTTCAATAAAGCTAATTCTTCTATTAAATGGAAGTATCCTTTCTTTGCTTGTTGTAACAGACTTAATTTTACTTTCTTAGGTGGCCTATCATATACTTTAGGATAATCTGATCTTTCATTTTGTTGATATGCGTGTATTAATCTATAACTTGGATCAAACGTCTTTTTCATAACAGGTCTATTAAATAGAATCGCACGCGTTAAGAAATTCATTTTGTAAATAACTTGTTTATATTATTACGTTCATTAATTTTATATATATTGTTACAAATTTTCAATTTTTTTTCAAAACTATATAAATAAAATATAACATTAATACATATTAATTAATTATTAATAACAGTAAACTTCTCCATCAATTTCTTAACTAGAATTACTATTAAATAATATAAAGCTTAACTAACGATCATCTGTCTACTCGTAAGATGTAGTAACTTAGTCGAACAAACAAAATGTTCATACTACCCTCTAGCGGTAAGGCATAATAATTAAAATCAAATGGTGGCAGTTTACTAATCTATCTAAATCAGATAAGTGTAGTTCAATGATTGTCTTTGAAAGATGATAGTTGCTCTGAATTGTAGGTTATTTAAATTACGATTTTTTCGTTGTAAAAAATATCGTAACAATGGTATTATCTATTCGAAATTTAAAAGAGCTGCCAGTAGTTTCAATGAATCTGAATTTAATACTGAAGTACAATTTTCTAATGGGTAAAAATATTATATCTAACCTCTTATTTTCTAACCTTTTATTATTGAATGTATTATATACTATAAATTCTTATTTTATTTGTAATAGTCATTGATAATTGTTTTTATCATTATTATTTAATTATTTCATTAAAAAGTATATGGCTTTATACATATATATATATATATACACATACATATAAATAGGAATATTATAACCTGACCAGTATGTAATAAAAATGAATTTTATTTTTTTCTCATATAGGAGTAATCTTATCATCTCTAGTGGGAAATATGCTCGACTTAGTAATAGTAGTACAGTTACATCTATTGGAGATACATCTGTTATGGTCACAGCAGTCTGCAGTAAAATTAGCAGTAACAAATCTATGCTTCCTTTAATTGTAGATTATAGACAAAAGTCTGCAGCTGTTGGTCGTATACCAACTAATTTTATGAGAAGAGATATAGGAACAACAGAACATGAAATTCTTACAAGTAGATTAATAGATAGATCATTACGGCCATTGTTTCCACAAGGATGGAACTTAGAAACACAACTAGTATGTAATACACTTGCCGTTGATGGAATTAATGATCCAGATATAATATCTATTAATGGTGCATCTGCTGCTTTAAGCCTATCAGATATTCCATGGAATGGTCCTGTTGGTGCAGTAAGAGTAGGAATGATAAATAACGTATTAAAAATAAATCCTACCAGGAGAGAAATGCAAGAAAGTACATTAAATCTTGTTGTAACCGCAATGAATAATAATTATGTTGTTATGTTAGAAGGATCTGCTGATAATATTAATTTGAATGATTTAAAGAAGGCGATAAAACAAGGTGTTAAAGAATGCCAGTGTATAATTCTTGCTATTAGGACATTGCAAAAAAAATATGGTAAACAGAAAATGAACTTTACTGTTACTGAAATTGAAGATGTAGATAGTATAACAGAATACATACAGATGAACGCAGAAGAAAATATACGAGATATATTGACAAATTTTGAACATGATAAGTTATCCAGAGACAATGCTATCTCAGAGATTTTTGTCCGTATGACTGATATTATTAAGGAAAAGTATCCTGAAGCACATGAAAAAGTAATAGAAAATATATTTTATAAGTTTGTTAAACAAATTTTTAGAACGCTCATCTTTGAAACTAATACAAGGTATATATATATAATAATTTTATAGATATAATTCTATCAATGTTAATATTTGTGCGATATACCATCTAATATATTTAAGGTGTGATGGTCGTAAACTGGAAGAACTAAGAAAAATTGACTGTCAAGTAGATTTATTTAAACCTCTTCATGGTTCTGCGCTTTTTCAGAGAGGTCAAACACAGGTTTTGTGTACTGTTACATTGGACTCTGTAGAAAGTGCTCTTAAGATGGATACGGCATCTATGTTAATAAGGTATATAAATATAAAATAACATAGACACATAGTAGTGTATTTTTTAATATTTGTTTATATGTCTCTAGTGGTATGAAGGAGAAGAATTTCTTTTTACATTATGAATTTCCTCCGTACGCAACTCATGATATAGGACGTATAGGAATTATCGGTCGTAGAGAAATGGGACATGGAGCATTAGCAGAGAAGGGGTTAAGATCCATTATTCCAAAAGAGTATCCATTTACAATAAGATTGACTAGCGAAGTACTTGAATCGAATGGTAGATATTTAAATATTATATAGTACAGAGAAATGACAAATTTTAAATTAATATTATGCTATTTATGAAAAGGTTCTTCATCTATGGCTTCTATATGTGGTGGGAGTTTGGCTCTTATGGATGCAGGAGTACCGATCTCATCACCAGTTTCAGGTGTTGCTATGGGTTTGATAACTCAATATAACGATCAAGATCCCACTGAGATTAAAGATTACAGAATATTAACTGATATATTAGTAAATATATGATATTTAATTGAATTATATATGCATTATTTAGTCTTTTGTGATGATTTGAACGTTATTTTATTAGGGTATGGAAGATTATTTAGGAGATATGGACTTTAAAATTGCTGGCGGAAAAAAGGGTTTTACAGCTTTGCAAGCTGATATAAAAATTACAGGTGTCCCTTTAAAAATCATAATGGAAATTGTCGATCAAGCTAAGATTGCTAATCAGAAAATCATTACAATAATGGATAAAGTACTATTAGAGCCGCGAAAAGACCGTAACGAGAAGATGCCGATGGTAGAAGACATAGAAATCCCTGTACATCAAAGAGGAAGATTTCTTGGAGTAGGTGGTATAAATCTAAAAAAACTTTTCATCGAAACTGGCGTTCATGTATGTATTGTTTTTGTATAAGTTAATAATTTTTATATTTTCTATACATTAGATAAAATCATTTTTTATTATTGTTATTAGGTATATTCAAAGGACGATGATATATATACTTTATTTGCACCTAACGAATCCGCTTTAAAAGAAGCCAAAGAAATAATAGAAAAGACATTACAAAAGACACGTGAACCTGTATTAGAGTTTGGAGCTATATACACTGCAAAGATAGTAGAAATCCGAGAAACTGGTGTTATGATTACGCTCTATTCTAATATGATACCTACGTTATTACCCAATTCCCAGTTAGATCAACGTAAAGTATTTCATGCTAGTGCTCTCGGTTTAGAAGTTGGACAAGAAATAAAAGTTAAATATTTCGGTCGAGATCCAGTTTCAGGTTATATGAGGCTATCACGAAAAGTTTTACAAGATCCCATCTCTATTGTAAGGACATTATCGTGAAATTAAAGAAAAATTAGGTTGTGTATATTTCATAAAAATTTCATTAAACGAACAAATAAACAAACATCTAGATCATTATTTTACATTTATTTAAGTAATAAGAATTAATTCTTTTATATTAATTATATGTTTTTAAATAATTCTTGCAGAATATTATTATATTCATCTTTTTATGATTAATAATATCATACAAACCTTTTTACTTAATACATAAGATTGTACAAAGGATATTTACATATATATTTTGTAATTATAGATAGAAATGATTTTAATTAAAATGTTATTCTTTTATTGTATTTATTATATCTATATTTTTAATTAAAAAAGTGCTTGGTGATTAAAACATTATTTAAATTAATATTAATGGATTAAAAATATTCTTCGACATTTTCCACTGCCGACACTTTAATACCAATGTTATATCGACCTAGGTTGGTAAGTTATCGACTCTGCATAACACTAATAATTTTAATCCTTTAGATGTGTTACCAATCTTCTGGATTAAATATTCTGTAGGAACATGTAGATACCTGTATGCATCTTTGCTATTCTCACTCTTTGAAAATCCTAGAATGTAATAAAAGGACAGTGTTACATAACACGAGATGTCTACACTCAATTTCAATGCTTTTTGGCTCCATATTTAATTCCTTTGAAACTAATACATAACATTTTTAAATCTTTCATAATTGTTTAATTTAAGACAAAAAAAACAAGATAAGATTAATATATAATAATACTAATAATACTAATAATACTAATAATAGAAAGAAACGAAAGAAGAATAAAACACGTTTTATATTTTAATCGTCAAAACAAATTGCAAGTTTAACATTTTTTATTTTTACAAGGAAAATATTATATATAAATATATAATATATATAATATATTCTACTAATTGTCAAGTATAATTACTTGACATAAGATTTTACAATCTAATAAACATATAAGAAACAAAGTACATAAATCTTTTTGGTGATATACATATATATATATATTTATATAGATATATAAAATATACATGTATATATAAAAAATATTACGGATTCACATCAACATAGGATTACGATTCGCTGAAGAAGAGTAATAAGAGGGTCCTTTTTCTACGAATAATGAAGGAGTATCAATAATTCTTTCGCGATCTCAAAATTTACCGGTAGGAAAGCCTGATAAAAAGATAAATGAAGATAGGGATTTATCGAGAGGAAAGTCAAGTAGAAAGAATAAAAGTTTTGGAGACGATAGGTAGACAAGACAAGGCAAAGTAATGGGCAAAAGAGTCCGGGCGGGTCGTGGTAGACGTCGAACGGGTGGGAAACTCGAGTCGAGCAGTGCCGAGCAGTGCCGAATGAGGTCGAGCAGAGCCGAGTTACTTGGGTGTCGCTTGGCCGGTATAGAAAGAGGGTGGACAACGAATAGGTGGGAACGCATGCGCTTTCTTCGTTGCGTCGAAGGTTGGCAGGGACTCGATGGAAGCGCGCGCGTCATGAGACAGAGAGGAAAAGAGAGTAAGAGAGAGAGAGAGAGAGAGAGAAAGAGAGAAAGAGAGAAAGAGCGAAGGAAAAAAGGGAGGGAGTTGGCTCCGCAAGCTCGCGGCTCGCAGAAAGAGCGACGGGGACGATAAGATGCAAGCGGAGCGAAAGCGCGCAAGGGAAGCCGGCCGACGAAGGCTTGCTGCCGCCGCCGCCACTCGGGATTGCTGAGAGACATAGACTGTATCTCCCACTACTATCTCTCTCTTTCTCCTTCTCTTTGTCTCTCTCTCTCTCTCTCTCTCTCTCTCTCTCTCTCTCTTTCTCTCTCTCTTGCTTTCGTTCATTCGCTTTCCACCGGCAGGCTCTTTCAGTGTTCGTTCGAACGCGGCCTCATACGGTTTTGCCGGCTCGTGGCCGAAGAATTCTTTCTCTCTTTTCCTTTCTCTTTCTCTCCCTTTCTCTATCTGTCTCTCTTTCTCTTTTCGCCATGGGAGCACACTGCCGCGGTGGTGAAAAAGCCGAGGGTAGCCCTCGGTAGCCGAGCTTACCCCGCTTACTCGCGCGCGCACTTACGTACGCACGCACATTAAATACATATACATATACACATAACGCACGCACTATACACGTATATACAGTCATATACATCCACAAAAGACCGGCTATCGGGACATTTGTCCGGGGCTTCGCAGAGAGAACGCGCGCGGGCGTGCGCGATCTTTCGCGATCGGTCGCTTATAGGGAGTGTGAGTGAAAGTGTCGTTTGCTGATTAACGAGGAGGGACCAACCCTCATTGTAACAATCAAAGTTGTATATATTCTTTTGAACGTGTAGAAAATGTAGAGTGAAAATCACTCGAAGAGATTCTGTCCTATTGAAAGAAAGGAAAAAGGGTGGAAAGCATAAAAAAAGAAGGAAGGAAGGAAGAGAGAAAGGAAAAAGAACTGTAGAAAGGAAAAAAGCAAAAAGGAAGCAAGATGTCAGGAAACTATACGGTACGCTGCGAACCGGGTTTGATGATACCGATATGGACACCTTTAGAAAATCTTCATTTGATAGACCTGATCTTTCGAGGAATCGTTTATTTTTTCCTGCTTCTCTATCTGTTCATCGGTGTATCGATCATTAGCGATCGGTTTATGGCGGCGATCGAGGTAATCACGTCGAAGGAAAAGGAATTGGTCGTACGCCGACAGGGTAGAGAGCCAACGATAGTCATCGTCCGTGTTTGGAACGAAACTGTGGCTAATTTAACATTGATGGCTCTTGGTAGTAGCGCGCCTGAAATACTTCTCTCGATCATTGAGATCTGGGCGAAAAACTTTCAAGCGGGCGAATTAGGTCCGGGTACAATCGTCGGCTCGGCGGCATATAATCTTTTCGTGATCATCTCACTCTGTGTGTTCGTAATACCGACTGGCGAGACGCGAAAAATTAAACATCTACGGGTCTTCTTCGTTACAGCCACGTGGAGCATATTCGCTTACGTCTGGCTCTATGTAATACTCGCGGTTTCGAGTCCGGGCGTTCTTGAAGTATGGGAAGGGATATTGACGTTTACATTTTTTCCGGCGACTGTATTAACTGCTTACGTAGCTGATCGACGTTTACTCATCTACAAATATCTTCATAAGGGTTACCGAATGAACAAGAGAGGAGTAATCGTTCAGGCAGAGGCAGGCGATTCCGACGGCGGAGTCGAACTCGAGATAAAACCACAACAGGATAGCTTTCATACGGTCGATCGGTTGGCCGATGCCGATACGCCCGAAGCGCGGGAGTTTGAACAAACACGTCGGGATTATATTAATACGTTGAGGGAACTTAGAAAGAAACATCCAACTTTACCGTTGGAACAACTCGAAGTTATGGCGCACGAGGAGGTACTTGGTAAGGGACCAAAGAGTAGAGCGTTCTACAGGGTCCAAGCGACAAGGAAAATGGTCGGTGCTGGTAATCTCAGTAGGAAGATCAGTGAGAGAGCTCAAAGCGATCTTAGCGAGGTCAAGGCCGAATTACAGAAGGCCGAGGCCGAGAGTATCGACATAGAAAACGTAAACGCAATGAGAGTCTTCTTCGAGCCAGGACATTACACGGTTATGGAGAACGTTGGTACCTTTGAGATCGGTGTTACCAGAGCTGGCGGAGATCTGAATAAATCCTGTACCGTCGATTATTCCACCGAAGACGGTTCTGCCGAGGCTGGCTCTGATTACGTTAGTGCCAAAGGTACCTTGACCTTCGAATCCGGCGAGACCAAAAAAACGATACAACTTTCCGTTATAGACGACGAGCTTTTCGAAGAAGACGAACATTTTTACGTCAGGTAAATTTATTCAATAAATCTTTTAAAATCTTTCAAATCTTTCATTTGAGAAGAAAAAAAGATCTTCAAAAAAGAAAATGATATTTTTCATGATATAATTTCACTTTCGATCTCCTTCTGACTAGTTTTCTTTTTATTTCTTTTTTTTTTTTCATCAAGCACGATAACCGACACTTTTAACTGTGAAAATTCGAGTCCTTATATACTAGTTTTAGCCGCGAAAGAAGACTAAGAAGAGTTAGTAGTAGTAGAAGAAGAAGAAGAAGTACAGTAGAGCCGCGTCGAGACGAGTAGAGCATAGCGGTGATGCTTCAGACAAGTACTTCCTACTCGGATTAAGAGCTACCAAATTGCTCGTTTGTGGAACAAGCTACTCTCGCACCACTGACGCATATCTCTCATTAACGAGGGACGAATACTTTTATACTTTTTCTTCTTCATCTTTATCTTCGTCTTCTTCTTCTTCTTATTCTTATTCTTATTCTTTAATATAAAAATGATATCGAAATACCTGCGAGTTTGTTTTCTTTGCCATCATAAATAAAAGTCAAACGTTCATAGTCCGTTTGAAAATTATGTAAAGTTTTTTCAGATTGGATCGATGTTTTTTTGTTTTTCTTTTTAATCTTTCTTTAACAAAAAAAAAAAAAAACAAAAAAAAGACAAAAAAATGAAAGAAAAAGGATACGATATCTTCGACATGGTAGAAAGATAGAAGAAAAATTTCTGATGATTTCTAATGATTTTTCGTTTAAGATTGAGCAATATATCGCAACCAGCCATGCTGGTGTCACCAAGCTTAGCGACGGTGATGATCTTGGACGATGATCACAGCGGAATATTTGGCTTTCCCGAGAGGGACATCGAGCTCGTAGAAAGCGTCGGACAATATCCTTTGCGGGTGGTGAGATACAGTGGCGCCAGAGGACGCGTCATCATTCCTTATCGTACGATCGAAGGAACTGCGAAACCGGGAAAGCAGTATGTTCACACCGAAGGATCTCTCACCTTTGAAGATAATCAAACCGAGTGAGTTTATCACTTTTCTTTATTTCTTTCTTTCTCTCTCTCTCTTTCTCTCTCTCTCTCTCTTTTTCTCTCTTTCTCTCTCTTTCTCTCTCTCTCTCTCTCTGTCTCTTTCTTTTTCTATCTCGTGTACGTATATGTCTAGATAAAATATGTAAACGACGTAATGACGTCAACGGAAAGGATAATAGGATAATCGAGATTTATCACGTGACAATCGGCAATTACGTAGGCGAGAAGAGATTTTTTTCTCGTATTATAGATACGTAACGACAAAAATTTGTACTCCGCAATTAATTAAAACAGGCTTCGTTGTTATACACGTACTTATGTATTATGTATATATTATATATGTATGTATATAAGCGCGGATCATGAAAAACCACGCGATGTCGACAATTCTCGACGATAAAAGCTTTTATTTTTCTTCTTACCTTCTTTTTTACTTTCACTTTGAATTATTATTTTCTTTCTTTTTTTTATATGTATGTGTTTGTGTGTGTGTGTTATTTTTTTTGTTTTCAAAAATACAACTTAAAGAGTTCTCGAGTGATAAGCGAAATAAGTTCGATGACTTGGCGTGTCGACTTAGCATGCAATGATTAAGCGAACGATAGGTACGAAAAAAGATCGATAAAAATCACCATGTATCGCTTCGAGCTTGAAAGAAAGGAGAAAAAGAATAGTATATAAGAGCGTGATATCTCGAACTTTGTCACGAGCCTGTTTTCATTTCGCACCGTATAAAAAAGTACAATGAGGACTGAAAAACTCGGATAGAATTCTTGATACTTGATGATAAATATAATACAATAATAAACTACTTATATAAAAGCGCTTTATTTTTTATAGATATGAACTTACGTAGACAGGTGTATATAGATGAGTAAAATAATTATTTTATAATCAGCAAATTACTGATTACTCTCAACAAAATTATTTCAAATTGTAAAGTAAGTTTTTCTTTTTTTTTTTCACACTTAGTTTTCGAGAAAATGGATTGTAGATATTTAATCGATATCAATCTTCATATACAAATAGTTGATATAATAGTATACGAAGATCGATAAGAATCAAAATTAGTTCGAATCAGAAACATGGGAAACATGTGTTAATCTACGTTCTAAAGAACCATAAGAAAGAAAAAAAACTGATATAAAAATATTTCTTTGTACAATTTCGATTGATTTTTTTATTACAAAAGATCGAATGATGATTGATTTTTTATTATGATACTTTATATAGCATACTATTTTGATAAAATATTTATGGATATACATCTATATGTGTGATATTCAAGCAACTATGAACAGTACTTTGCAAGTAGAAACGGCTTGAAATTGTAACGGGTCATTTTTCGGAAAATTATGGAAGAAAAAATTAAAACGAATGTAGGTCAGTGGGTTGCTGTAATAGAGATCGTGCTCGTGGAACCGTGCTATGGAGTTTGTACGTATAATTTTACCTTTACGAGCCCATTAACTACGCTTTTCCTATGCCTTCCATTTTATTTGCTATTCTTTCATTTCGTCTCATTTCGTTTCCTTTATTTTTTCTCTTTTCTCTCTCTCTCTCTCTCTCTCTCTCTCTGTCTTTTTCTCTTTCTTTCCTTTTGGCACTGTTTCGGTGTTTGACATTTTCTTACCTCGTTCCTCTTTAGAATTTGCAAAGAGTATCGACAAAGCACCCGTATGTTGTAAGATCTTTCGATTTTTCTCTTATTTTCTTTTTCATTAAGTTTGCAGACGGAGTCAAAGATTTATTCATCCTTATAGGAGTGAATCCTATTTCATCTTGACGATGACTTTTTCTTCTTTTTCCTTTCGCGAAAAATATTAGCTGTTGCCAGAGAAAATTCACTTTTTCCGATAACAGAAAAACTAATTTATCTTTACATGGGGGTTACTGATGTATTCGTCGTACGTGCACATTCAGTTTATTCAAATATTCAACAAATATTTACGAGAAACAAAATATTAAAACGTTCTCCTGACTTATTATTTATTACATACTGTTTCACACTTATAATATTTTATTCACACTTAAAATGTCAGATGTTAAAAATATTTTAACATCTTTTTTAAAACTATTTAATTAATTATTTAATTATTTATTAATATAAAAATACATGAAATAATCGTTTTATAATTACAAACAAAAAGTTAATAAACATACATACATGCATACACAATACACATTTGCGCGCACGTATATGTCAGTATTCTTGATAAGATAAAGTAAGTAATGTAAAGTAGGATTTAGTATTAAGAAGATCATTACTGCTTAGCTATACGTTATGATTTATTAATAATCCTCTGACGATCTTTTTCCTTCAGTTAGTAAAAAGCTACAAAGAATATAGAAGGACAAGGGGAAGATTCATCGTTTTCACTTGGGCGATCATAATTTTCATTTCTATACCTCTTATCAAGCAATCATTGGATTTGATATTGCAAGGTCGATACGAGAGAAACTTATTGTAGGAAAGAAAATAGAAAAAAAAAAAGAAAAAAAAAAGATCTATATTCGCGTTTCTCCAAACTCTAAACTAAAACTCAAACTACTAGTTGATCAAAATAGCTCCATCGAAGAGAGCAATTTCGAAAAGAATTGAACTAGAACGTTGGTCAATACTTTCCCTTCCTCGAAAGAGAAAGGAAAGTCAACGTCTTGTCTGGACGTCTTTACGGCGCCATCGTCGCCAAGTTTTACCTTCTTTCGCTAAACTTTTCCTCCATTTTACTCCTTCGACTTCCGATCGCTAAGACACGAGAATAAGAAAGAGAGGAGGGAGAGAGAGAAAGAGAGAGAGAGAGAGAGAGAGAGAGAGAGAGAGAGAGAGAGAGAGAGAGAGAGATGAAGGTAGTGGTTCGACGACGATGCGTTGTAACGAGCGTAAGGAAAAAAACATGCGGGAGCTCGTAAAGTGGGCCAATAGAGGGGCGGGAAGACCTATAAGCATGCAGAGCGTTACGCCCTTGTGTTTCTCCATCCTCTACCACCGAGCTTTCACTTCCACGTTCTCGATGAGCTTGCTCGCTATCACGGCCTCGTTGTTTCCAAATTCTCAGGGAACGTTAAACATCTTTCGTTCGTACTTCGGTCATTTTTAAGTTGAAAAAAGAAAAAATTAAAGAAAGAAAAAATTAAAAAAAAGGAAAAGAAAAAATGAAACAGTAAAAAAAGGAAAAAGAAAAAGTAATAGTAAAAAAAAAAAAGAAATAAAAATAAAGTTCAGAAAGAATAAGACAATAAAGAATAAGACAGGCAAATGGACAGAGTAAGTTGCTTTGTGTTGAAGTTCGATGCCAAATAAGATTTCGATGAGTCCACGTGCGAGAGATTCATCTACTAGCTAAAGCAGGTAATTGCGAATTCCGCCACGAAAACTCATTTAAAAGTCGAATACGCCTGTACTCATTGCGAAAATTGGAATTCGCTCTGGTTCAAAGTGAACGATGATGAAGAAGAAGAAGGAGAAAAAGAGAAGGAAGAAGAAGACGTGCTACGACGCGGTGGTTCGGTATTCGTCGCTAGACGAATGAAATTTCGTTCCACGAAAGAGCCTCACGTCCGTCCTTCATCTTTCTCGACTACAACTTATACCTATCAGACCAGACTCCAAATGGAATTTATTATAGCTGCACGTTACGACTTTACAAATTATCTAAAAACTAGCAGATCTTTTTATGTTATTCTTATTCCGGATAATCGTATCTCATCATCTTTTCTTTTACCCTTTTTTCTTTTTTCTTTTTCTTTTTTTTTCTTACATTATTATAAAATTTTAACGAACAACTGTTATTCCTATTTAATCATAAAGAAAATATAGAGCACGCAGTTCTAATCGTTTAAGAACATTAGTGATTTAACCCTCGATAATTAAATTTTTTGTCATGTTTATCAATAAATTATATGACATGAAAAAAGAGTTACAGCATATTACTTACGCTGGTATGATTATACTATATATCAAAAAAACAATTTATACCTGAAAAATACTCACAAGGAAAAAACAAAAAAGAAGCTTTAATTATACGAAGTAATAATTTTAACTTTGGTAGTGATAAAATTCATAGTATTATATAGATGATTAAATAATCTCGAAACATAATCAAAACATCCAAGCATAACAAGAATAAGAACAATAACAATCAAAATAATATAATAACGTAATAATAAAATAGTTCGAAATAAACATCACGAATAACATCGATATGTCAAATTGAAATAAATTTGAAATCGTTACAATTTTTTTTTTATCTATGTGGTTGTACGTTACCACTCTATCAATAAATGAAATTGGAGATGTGATTGCGTTTTATTGAAAAGAAAAAGAACAAAAAAAAAAAAAAGAAAAAGAGAAAAAAAACTAGAAAAAAAAAGAAAACAACAACAACAACAACATATGTAGGTAATATACGATAGTAAACTGTTCAAACTCTTGGTTGTTCTCATAGAAAGTCACGCGATCGAAGATTGCAATCGGAGAAGACGTAGTACTTGGAACAATTTGCGAACTCCAAAAGAATTAATCGATGAACGATCCATATTCTCCGTTCTCTGCATTTCACTCTCTCTATCTCTCTCCTTCTCTCTCTCTCTCTCTCTCTCTCTCTGTCTTCCCAGCCGTTTTCGCTCCTGCATGAACTCCCCCTCCCCCTTCTCTCTCTCTTAACCACCGTCTTCTTACCCTCCGATTGCAGTTCGCAAATTTACGAGCATGACTTTTGCCGAGATCATAATTCTTCATGGTTTCTAAAATGAATACTAACGATGTCAGCCATGACTGCTTGATCATGGTCTATGAAGAGAATATAATAAATTGTCCTTAATTATAAAGCAGGTAAAGAGAGAGAAAGAGAGAGAGAGAAAGAGAGAGAGAGAGAGAGAGAGAGAGAGAGAAAGAGATGGAAAGAGATCAGTTGATCGAATTCACAGTTAAAGTTTAAGTTAACGATCAAATGTAATAAACGTGAAGTAAACGAGGATTGAAGGTATGAGTGG